TATATATATAAATTATTTACTGGCCAGTCTGCAGTGCTTTGAAGACATACGCCAGTTACACATTTTGTTCCGTTTTAGCCTGTTAGTAACTTTTAATTGTTTCCAATCAAAAACACATTATTGTCAGACTTGGTCTGAGTAAATACAAAAATGCAAACCAACTGTGTCCTATGTGAAAAAGTAATTGCCCCTATTGTTAAAATCTAAACCTTTAAAAAAATACATATTTTGAAAGCTGTGTTTAATTTTACTAGCCACACGCAGACCTGTAGAATCAATAAATCACTTAAGTAGCGTAATTATCCAAATTAGGAAAAACTAACTATGCATCAGTGATAAACATCTCCAGGAGTGACAAGCAAGAGTTCATTAGAACATATCCAGGAGGTAAAAATAGTAGCCAGAACATCTAAAACACTGCAGGCCCCACTTGTCTTAGGTAAGATCAGATTTCATGATTTATCAATCAAAAAGAGATGATGGGCAAACATGGCATCCATGGGCAAATTTCAAGGTGAAAACCACTGCAGATCGATAAGACCATAAAGGCCAATCTCATTTACCATAAATCATCCTGATGATCCACAATCCTTTTGGGATAATATTCTGTGGACTAGTAGAAACAAAGTGGAACTTTTTCTGAAAGCTGTGCATTTTTTCAGCATATTATTAAACAGAGGAGCATTCCAACAGTCAGACATGGTGGTGGCAGTGTGATGGTCTGGTGGTGTTTAGCTGCTTCGAGACTTGGAAGACTTGCAATCGATGGAGCCATGAATTCTGTTTACAAGCAGAAAATCCTGAAGAAAAATATCAGGCTATTAGTTTGTTACATTTAGCTCGAGCACACTTGGGTTCGGCAGCAGAGCAATGATCTGAAGCACAGCAGAAGAAACAAAAAATCCTCCACTGCCATGGGAGAGACTGATTGCCAGTTATCACAAACGTTTGATTGCAGTTGTTGCTGCTAAGGGTGTTATTAGGTTCTTAGGTTTAAGGGCAATTACTCTTTCACAATAGGCAGGTTGGATTGGATAGCTCTCCCCACTTGATAAAGGGAATCATAATTTAAAAACTGCATTTTGTATTTAATTAGGTTACTTACTGCTATTTGTTTGATAATCAAAAAGGGAATAAATCTGTAAGGGGGTCAATTACCTTTTCACAGCACTGTATAAAAAATCCTAACATACAGCATGATTTTTCTTACTCCTTATCGTCCAGGGAGTTTAAAGATGGATTTTCATTAGCACCAGTTTACATACTTCTGAGAGAAGAGGTCTCTATAAGGACTGCCGTGCTGCAGGGCCATGCCATAGCCTCTGGTGCTCATGCTGTTTCCTGCTATAGTTAGCGTGCAGTCATCGTCTGTCAAAGCAGCGTACTCCACCACCGCCATGTCCCATAGAAAGGCGTATGATTCTCGCTTTGCCTGGAAAGTTTCCACAACACCCACACACAAACAGGGACATGTAAGTTACGTAAATACATCTTTACAGCAGAGCAGCTCATCTTGAATGCAAGCTGTCTTGCCTGCCTGAATTTTAGTTTTGTTTTACTAAGACAGCAACATTTGACATTTGAAACTTGATACATTACACGTCTAAGTCCTATATAAGATTATACCTACTTGCCATTCTATAATTCTTAATATTGGCAAGTGATTATATTCTTTTTTTTTTCTTTACTCCTAAAATCAATGCTCTAGTTTTGTAAAGCCGTGTACCAGATCTTTTTTTTTTTTTTTTTTATCAGAGGAAAGCAATCGGGAAAACAAATGGCAAAAACAAACATTTTCACAGAAATTGACTTTTCCTTATTCAGTCAACTCAGAACATTAATCGCACAAAATGTTTTATGTACACTGCCTAACACCCCCCCCCCCCCCCAAAAAAAAAACAAAAACAAAAAAAAAACAGTTACCACCTGGATTTAACTAAGCAAATAGGTATGAGCCTCTTATTGGATAATTCCTGCATGGGTGATTATCTTTCAGCTGACAGCAAGTTATTTAACCGCAACCGGTGCAATGAGTTGCTTCTCACTTCTTAAACAACCATGTTGAAAGACACATCGCGTGGTCGTTGAAAAGATGTCAGTCTGTTTGAGAAGGGTCAAATCATTGGCATCAAGCAGAGAAAACATCTAAGGAGATTGCAGAAACTACTAAAATTGGGTTAAGAACTGTCCAACGCATTATTAAAAACTGAAGGATAGTGGGGAGCCATTGTCTTCAAAGAAGAAACGTGGCCATAAAAAAATCCTGAATCATCGTGATCGACGATCACTTAAACTTTTGGTGAAATCAAATGGAAGAAAAACAACAGTAGCACTCAGGGCTGTGTTGAATAGTGAAAGTAAGAGCATTTCCACACGCATAATGCGAAGGGAACTCAAGGGATTGGGACTGAACAGCTGCGTAGCCTTAAGAAAACCACTAATTAGTTAGTGAGGCTAACCAGAATGAAAGGCTTCAATTTGCTAGGGAGCATAAAGATTGGACTCTGGAGCAATGGAAGAAGGTTTTGTGGTCTGATGAGTCCAGATTTACCCTGTTCCAGAGTTATTGGCGCACCAGGGTAAGAAGAGAGGCAGGTGAAGTGATGCACCCATCATGCCTAGTGCCTAATCATCAATGTAAGATCTTGGTGAAAAATGAATGCAACACTGGATCTTGTGACATTGCAGAAGCTTATCGAAACAATGCTACAGCGAATGCATGCCATAATCAAAGCTAAAGGCGGTCCAACGACATATTAGTGTGTGACCCCTTTTTGTTTGGGGGGGGGGGGGACTTTTTTTTGACCATGCAGTATATTTTCTCCCTTCTCTATCATTGGTAGACAGTCGATGCAGAATAGCCACATTTGAACTATAGCTTTGACTTTCTGTCTTCATATCTTCAATAGGACTAAAGATAAAACCGCCACCTTCACTTTATATTTATAATTTACTTACCCATGGTGAAAATGTTTCTTTTAAACCCACAAATTCAGAAAGGCAAATTATAAAATTGACACTTCACACAGTGTTTTATAGGATGATTAAAAAGTATGATTAATTTATCCAACTTGAAACACAAAGACTTAAACCAAAAAAAAATATGCTTCTAAGGTTTTATCAGGGTTTCTGTAGAATTGTATGTGTTGTCCCGTCAGGGTACTGGAGTTGGCTGATTAGAGCATAAATGTGGTAAAGAAAAAAAAAAAATGCAGATGACACTCAAACTAGTCTAGTTTTTTTACTGAAAAATTAGAGACTGTTTACTTTTAACTCAAACACACTAACCTTCTTGATGCCCTCTGACGGGCTTGAGACAGAGTTCTCGAAGCCGTTGTTCTTGTTGATGATTTTCCAGAGCTCAGCAAATGTGCTGTCCTGCTCCAGAGGGTTGGTGCCTTTGGCGTGGAAATATTCATACACAGCAGAGTCCCTCACTGTCCCGTATGTAAAATCCACCTGTTTGGCCAGATCCTGGAATGACCTTCATTAAAAAAAATGAGAAAATATTTAGATTTATCTTTACAAATCTATTATATCTAAGCACATTTGTCAGGCTCTACCTCACTAAACCAATGCATAAAATGATTCATTTCTTGTTTTGAAGACTATCAGCACAATTTATTTTTTAATCCCTTTTGTTTAACAGTTTGTCATGAGTCAGAGAAATGAGGTAGTTTAGTGTTAAAACTTTTTATCAATCCCATACCACTGACTTTTAAGAATCTGAGCAAACCTTTTTTTAATTTCTTTTTACAAATAATCTTCATTTATTGACAAATTGTTTTATTATGAAATTGTGCTGGCAGCAGATACATCTTACATGTCAAAACTTTGTATATAATCATAAAATAAAATTCTGTCTCTATAAAAATGTTTAACTTTCAATGTAATCTGAATAATCTTGTCAGGAAATCTGTTTAATTCCTTGGATGGGAAATTACATGTTGCTGTGTGAACTTGTCACTATTTCTTATAAAATCAAAAAATATATGTTTTTATAAGTTTTTCCCTCTAACTCCATTCTATAAAACTTTTTAAAGACTCCAACTTATGCTGGCAGAGAAAACTGCAACAGTTTTTATTTAACCAAAATCCAATTTTTGGAATTTAGTCTTATTTTTCCATACATGTTTAATTCATTGTACGTTTAGTGAATACTTCTCAGGGTTTCACTAAAATCTTTCCAGTGGTTCATGTGGCCTTTTGCCAACTGTTTAAAGTTAAATCAACGTTCAAACAGTTTAAACAACTTTAAACAGTTATAACTGTTTGCAGTTAACACAGTTAACAGTTAACTGTTTGCCAAAGGGATGTTTTCAAATAGGAAGTCCGTCCCAGCAATCCTTTCCTTGATTATATCTTCGAACGGTGTTCCTATTGAGTTTGTCGATTTCTTCAAATACTTTGGTATTTTGGTCGATTCGCATCTCTCTTTTAAGTCCCATGTCGAAAACTTGGTAAAGAAACTACAAGTTAAATTGGGTTTCTTTTTCAGAAATAGATCCTGTCTAACTCTGAACGTTACAAAATGCCTTGTAACTGTTACTTTCCTTCCTTCTATTGACTATGGGGACATAATTTACACGAATGCTCCTTCAAGCACCCTGCAGATGTTGGACACTGTCTTATCACGGTGCACTAAGATTCATAACTGGTTATAACTACCATACCCATCATTGCACCCTGTATTCACTGGTTAACTGGTCAATCTTTAACTTTACACATACTCTCACACTGGTACATTTTCATCTTTAAATCACTACATGTCACTAGGTGAGTGCAGCTACAGCGTGCACTCTCAGGACATTATTACATGCAGTGTTCCCTCAGTGTAGACTGAACTAGGAAAAAGGGCCTTCTCCTTCTCCGCTCCTGTTTCCTGGAATATCTTGCAAAAAGATCTGAAGATCTCGAACTTGACCTTTCTGAGTGGCTTCAAACTGCTGCTAAGTTCCTGGCAAAAACCAATGCAGACATGTTCCTGTTTTTAGTATTTTCTATCACTTTATAATGTAGCTGTTTTTTGTTTGTTTGTTTTTTAACATAATTTTCTTCCATTAATTGTTTTTTTTTTCTCCCTATTTTTATGCTTTCTTTTAAGAATGTCTACTTTTGTCATTGTCATCTACTGTTGTCATCATTCTTTGTTAAATACAGGGTCTCTCTCGTAAATGAGTCCTCGAGGCTCAGTGAGACTAACCTGTATAAATAAAGTTTGAATATGTGGAATTAACCAAGTTGTAGCCATTTTTGTGTTTGCTAAGGTCAATTGCTGTGATGACTTACTTGATTTGGGTTTACACCAAAGGTAATCTGTTTAAGATATTTTGCTTACAGACAGGGTTGACTTTTCACAGTTGTTAAGATTCTACACGATGTGCAGCACTCAGAGTATGTGTTGATAATGACTAAGCTGCTACCAAACAGAATTTCAGTTCAATATGTGTAAAATTGTCTGACTTGAATCCATTTTTGCATTTACAAGCATTTCATTGCACAAGCAGCCATCTTATGGTGTGAATATTGTGGACTCAGATTTAAAATAAACACTAAATATTATAATTTCATTGCAATCTTAAATAAAAATATTTTAAAGACAATTAATTCTAAGAGCAATTGCCAAAAGTGGAGTTTTGGATTTTGCTGCCAGCTAGAATGTGCAAAACTTAATCCACTGATAAAATACTATTGAGCAACAATCCCAAGTTAATAGATACCACATATTGTGTGTGCTGGACAGCTGGATTTGCTGCCCATTTTAAGTGCTTTTTTGTGTCCATTTTTATCTTCAAGCCCTGAAACACAATTTTTTGCAATCAATACACAGAAATGGAACTCTGCCCCGTTCATTACCCTTAATGACTGAACCGCATTCGAAATACAAACAACCTCTGACATCCATACAAATACACGATTTCCTCCCATCCCCATCCTGCTGTCGAATGTTAGCGAGGCATGCATGAGCAACATTCTTATCATGGTGACATGCTGCTAATTTATTCTAAGGTGTTCTAGATCAGAAATGTTTGGCTTCTCTGTTAACCACAATTATACTTTATGGCAGGTTTTTATTCAATAAATGAAAACAGTTTAGAGTTTAGTGTTCATGTAATTAGTATCAGAAGCACAAGTTATAACTCTGAAGGTCTTTTTTATGCTCTCTAAAGAGAATAACAAGTTTTTCATAATAGCAAAATAAACAAAATTGTGTTTAAAGATTAGAAGTTGCATAAAGGCTGTTCTTAATAACGTAAACAAATATAAATCCATGCTTAAAGTCTTATAGTAAGAAAACACACTTGTGTTCATGTTAAAGCACATTTTTGGACATGCATTCAAAACATCCAAACCTAAGAGGCATAGATGCAGAAATGCATGTTCTAAAAAAGGGTCTACAGATTTTACAGAGAAAATAAAATGGCCAGCAGTGCTTGAAGATCATTTCAAAATCTATACTTCAGCTGAGGAAGAAAGTAGTTTTTTTTTTTTTCAGGAATTATATTACCTTGACTTTTATTGTTGTTCTGGACAATATCTGACTCTATTTGAGCTTCAGAAATCAGGTTTGATCGAGTCCAAGGTCTAGACATTGGGTTTTGTTCGTGTAAAAAGAAAACTTGCAATATTGACGTGTCAAACACAAAACATCAAAAATCATTTCATTCTATGGGACGGCTGCGGATGAGTGGTTAGAGCAATTGTCCTCCGGTGCAAGAGTTGGGGGTTCGATCCACCAGCAGTCACATGCCAAAGTGTCCCTGGGCAAGACACTGAACCCATTGTTGTCCCCGATTTGTGTCCCATCAGTGTATGAATGTTGTAAAGCACTGATTAATCTTTGTATACAGGTCTAGTAGAGTGCTGTATGAATGGGTAAATGGGTGCACAGATTGTAGTGTAAAGCACCTTGAGTATCTCATATGATAGAAAGGTGCTATATAAGTACAGTCCGTATACTATTTACCATTCATAGGATACGTGGCACTTTCTGAGGCCCTGCAGTGCAGCTGTAAAGCTTTGGTCATCAAATACAGCAAGAACATAGTTAATGACTCATTCTGTCTGCGTAAGAGATTTTAATTTGATATTATGTTTTCATATTTTACATAGCATGATTAATTCACAACAAAATCACAAAATAGTCATTCTGTGAGAAACGACAAAAAAAGGGCCAAAATATTCCCAACTTGTGGAGTTACCTTTTTATTTTTTATCAAGCCAACTGTACACTGTTTTTCAGAACAAGAAGGGCAGACTGTACTTGTGTGTAAATGTCCTCTACCTTTTGTCATTTAGTCAGTTGCTTTGCAAAACCAGCAGCTACCCAAACCATGTCATTCTACTTGACCTTTATTTGGTGTTTCAGAACATTTTTTTAAATTGCTGCATGACCTACTCCACTGACCAAAAACCTCAGAAAAGTTTTTTTTACACTTAAGCCTTTTGAGCCGTTTCAATAATATTCTATTTAAAAGCGACAACAACAAAATGTATTTCAACAGTAACAAGCTATTTGAGGGCTAGCGTTGTTGTAAAACAGCTGTGGGTCAAAATGACACACGGGGCCAGAGGCCAGGGCAGCAGGAGAGATGTGATTTTATTTTTATTTTTTAGAAGAAGAAAGAAAGTGCCGTGTTGTCCTCATAGTATGTTTCTATACAAAGATGAAATTAGTTCCCATCACACGTGAGCTACACCCAGGTGGAGCAGTGGGCAGCTATGTAAGCGCCTGCAGAGCAGTTAGGGATTAGGTATCTTGCTCAAGGACACCACGACATGTGGGAATGGCGGGGAGTTGAGCCTGTGATTTTCTGGTCCCAAGTCTGCTGCCCTACCTCTACACCATCTTAGGCCCTTGTTTCAAATATATTTTAATTGCTCTAACAACTAAAACAGTCAGATAGGCTTAATAAGACAAACTTGAAATGGCGATTGCATTAATCTTGGCAACTTATTTTCTCCTCTTGCTTTCTTTTCCCCCAAACCCAAAGCCTATTTCTTTTTTTTCATTCAGCCAATTTTTGTGCACTTCAGTTATATAAAAAAAAGATTCTAGGCAATTTAAAAAGTTGCATGCATGTCAGAAAATTATTGAAGAACATATTTAGAATAATCTCTTCCAGAATCATGCTTGATGCACAAAGGTCGGATATAATTTTAGGTCGTTCAGCACTCTAATACACAGTCCTGTTCTGCTCTATAATCCATCCAGAACAAAATCCCCGTAGCAATTGTAACCACTTTAAACTTTGCTGGTGAGAGCAGCAGATGACATGTTGTACTTGCATCTTTAATGTTCCAATTTGAGAATTGGTCAAAATGTTCTGACTTAAATGGAGTCATTTGTCTGCAGGATTTGTCGTTTAAACTGTACCAAATGTACCACAAACGGAAAGAAAAATGTCATTGCCATTCAAAACATAAACGCCCACACATCCAGACGAAATCTCTTCATAGATGAGCGCTTTGCTTCTTAGCATTCACCTTGTCTACTGAGATGTCCCCGTGTGCTTATTTGTCTAACAGAAGACACAACCAATGCAATCAAATGCCTTTCTGTCCATTCTTAGGGGAGAAACGTCACACCAAATTGGATTCACTGACAAATAACATCTAGACTGAGGACAAGCAAGTTGTTAAGCAAGCGGGTCAAAAATAAGAGAGACACCACAGAGAGATGAACAGATGAAAGATGCTCATGGATTGTTCTTTAACCGGAGCGACTGCAGCAGTACTGAATGTTAAAGTATTGAAAAAAGTGCATACATGCTGTGTCCAGAAATCAATCCACGCACAACTCCAGCCTAATCAATAATAATAGCACTGTTAGACATACCAAACTAGCTACATGAAGGGTTTACGCAAATGAGGTTTATATGGAAGTGTGCAGAATCTTTAAATATGAATTATTTTGATTGTTGTCATTTGATTTTTGTGACAAGAAAAAAATATTTTACCGAACTGCATTGTCCATGCGTGACACGGTGAGGTAGGCAGCCAGATTTGCTGTGTAGGACGAACACACAATGAGGGTGAAAAGCCACCAGCTGCCCATGACGATACGCAGAGCCACCGAGCCGAGGATGGAGTCGCTGCCTGTGAAGGTGGAGAGAGTCAGAAGCTGCACACGGATGCAAACATCAGCATCTTTACCATCTGTTGTACAACCTAAGATCAGGGATGGGGAAACACAACATCATCTTTAATTTTCTGTGACTTAAAAAAATTGTGCCTATTTCATTTAATTCTTAATCAATTATTTTAACAAACAATTCTCTCTCTCTCTCTCTCTCTCTCTCTCTCTCTCTCTCTCTCTCTCTGTCTCTGTCTCTGTCTCTCTGTCTCTGTCTCTCTGTCTCTGTCTCTCTGTCTCTCTCTCTCTCTCTCTCTCTCTCTCTCTTTCATATATATATATATATATATATATATATA